ACGGAAGTTCAGGGTTCCGCCGATCGTATCAACACGCAAACCACCATTAGTCAATAACGATTACCCATCAACCAGTGGTCTGCTGAACGCCTGCACTTCCGCGGACTTGCCAACTCTGCAATATATTCCTACAGAAAACGCCGCACTTACGATGGTTTTCATAATTATATCTAGAATAGGCCAGAAGTCACATTTGGTCTTCCTAATAATTGGAAGCCCATGCATTGCTAAGAATACAACTATCCCACCTGATGAACAGCGCAAAGAGGGAGTGCGTAACTGGCCATTAATTTGACTTACCAGACTTAAATGAACGTACTCATCGCTGCCCATGGCCGTTACCAGTGCAGAAAAGTTTGTCGCACCCAGCGGAGTTCGTGAGTCCGACGGGGGTCCCGACAACAACGGCCCCAGGAACTTAAAAGCTCCTTCAAGGGAAAGTGTGGCGTTTGGGAGCATATTGCCCACTTGCGTAACGTTTCACGTATGCCCGACTCGTTTTCAGGTGCATTCTACGTCGACAGACCGTCTTCGTACGTTGAGGCGTTGGGGGAACCACGCATACAAGACCTGTCGTCATCGTAATAAATTGATGAATCGGCATCATAAGTGAAGCTGTCCGACGAGGGTATTTGCCCCACTATTCTGTTGATTCTTTGTAACATTTTTTTCGGTTTCCCTGAGCACGCGACATCGCTGGGTTCGACTGCCTAACCAATTCAACGTAGTCACTACTACAAAAAAACAGCAGGTAGATAGTCTGAGTCAGATAGGAAACAAGAACGTTGGGCAGGCAGGGCGTGCGCACGCCAACGTAGCAAAGCAGGAAGTGTCGCCGGAGACTGCGTGCTTGCAATCGAGCCCCAGAGCCAATCGATTTGCGCCCTTAACAACGCCGGCAGAGCGGACCAAAGAACTAATCAAATCACGGGCCCACTTAGGCCTCGACACTGCTCGTCTTTGCGAAATCACTGCCAGCTCCCCTGCTTTAAGGGCAACCGTTGACTGGCTGAGCATATGATTTTTGTTCGTTTTCACTAAGGCATCCACGTTCTGATAAGTTCACCCCGCGTTGGCTTCATATGAATCCCTCTGCTGAATTGACTCCTAACCGTCCTAGGTAGACGAACAAGGGAATTGTGAATACGAGGAGCTTCGTGGGACTGAGTGCGCGGCAACCCAAATGTCTTCGACCACTGAGTATGATTCTTGATTGTCAACTGCGAAAATAGTGTTGGGTGAATGAAGATGCTTTTGTCCGGCAGGAGCCTAGCACGAACACTCAAGGAGGACATTCTGCACGGTTTTACACACGAAACCGTTAGCGGTTTGACACTAAGTCTCAGAAATGTGAGTAACATAACGTATGCTGCTCCTTTAGAACGTTATTTGACCCTTTTGGAAAGTCCCCTGTTGCTTAGTCTTCCTACGACTTACAGTAGCGCATCTACTGTATACTCCTCTGTAGAAATCTATGTCCCCTGTGTAACTAAAGCTACACAAGCGACAAATTCGTTAACAGTCAAGTTATTCAGATTTGATTTTTGAAAACCCGCAACCGTGGTCCCATGGTGTAGTGGTTAGCACTCAGGACTTTGAATCCTGCGACCCGAGTTCGAGTCTCGGTGGGACCTGCATTTTCGAAGTTTTCCGGTAGTCACCACGGGTGACGATTGGTTGGTTGCAGACACGTTTTCACGCTCTTTGATCAGTATGTTTAACCGGTCATGTTTAATTTGCGTCAGTATCAGTGTCTTTGGGTATGCAAAACAAATCACCTGACCATAAAGAAGACAAATGAAAGAAGAATCAAACCTCATTCCCACGGTAGGCAACGAAATGGAAGAGCGAAAACATGTCAGCGGTGGGATTCGAACCCACGCCCTCATTCGAGGACCAGAAATCTCAGAAGCCGCACGCTTGAGTCTGGCGCCTTAGACCGCTCGGCCACACTGACGTGGTCTACTATTCTTTATTTTTATATAAAAAATAAAAGTTAACTAATGTTTTCTTCGAGTAGCAGATTATTTTGACTTATCACAGGCATCTATAATGCCTTCATATCAAGCTCTGCAGCTAAGTCCTTGATTAACTCTCCCCCAACGCATTATGAATGCGTTATGAACCAACTTGACTTTGGCAATATTTCGTCCTCCCTCAGCATATTGGCTCCGTCAATAAGCCAGGCCCGTGGGCGATGGACGTGGCTATAGCTCTGTTGATCAGGAGGAAATGTTTCAGGTCTTATTTATGCTGCCTGCTGCGCTGTTTTTTCGTTCGAATATACTGTTTGAATCTAACATGCTTGTTACCTTCGGTCAAAGTGACCCGGGAGGCACAATTTGTGGTCACCCCTCTGCCAGCACGGCAATACCATCTGAACGGAATGCCACTCCGAGAAGCAGAAACTCAGAAAGATCTCGGAGTTTGGGTTGCAGACAGTCTAAAGCCTTCTACACAATGCTGTAAGGCGGCCAAGGCCGCAACGTCAATACTATATGTCATCAAGCGGGCATTCGTAGTTTTCGATGAAGACTGCTTCACCAAAGTCTTCGGTACGTTTATAAGGCCCCATCTCGAATATGCAATTCAGGCCTGGAGACCGTGGACGCACCAGGATTACGATCTGCTCGAAAGGGTGCAGAGGAGAGCCACAAAATTAGTAAGAGGTCAAAGTGCACTGCCATACGAGATCCGCTTAACTAACCTTAATCTCTGTCCTCTGAGTTATAGGCAGTTGCGCGGAGACATGATACAAACTTTCCGTATCCTGCGCGGCTTGGATTGTGCCCTTCGGTGCGATGACTTTTTCCAACTCGCCACTACAACTCACCTCCGGGGACATCCCTTCAAGCTACGTGTGCCACAGGGTAGACTGAATGTGAGAAAATATTTCTTCTCCAACCGTGTCGTGGAACCGTGGAATAACCTGCCCGAGAAGGTTGTTATGTCTCAATCTGTGGAGACATTTAAATGTCGCCTCGACAGATATATGCTGCAGCAACAAGCGGACTATGTGACTTTTTAACCATGTGACTAGTGACATATGTGAATCAATGTATGCATTCACTTAATGCTGTAATTTCTTCACATTTTTGCTTGTTAATCGATTTTTTATGTAGAAATAGGGAGTTCAAAGGCGTAAGCCTATTTCCCTCAAATACACTGACTGACTGACCGACGTGGCCCCCTCATAAGAGGGGGCTAAGAAGGAGTTTTCAAGGGACTAGTCCCATCATACATGTATAGTTTTCATGTGATTAATAAATATTGCATAGCCGATATACCGTGAAAATGCATGCGCTTTTGGCCCCAAACATGCCTTAAGGCTGACATTACGGATTACCAAATATGTCCCTTGAGGAAACATGACAGTTTGTACATGGCAAATTTTTATCTTTTTCGTTCAATAAATTTTCTTCAAGCTATAAATGGCGTTCAAGTGTGCTGATCGATATGGTTCCCTAATAGCAAAATGTGCTCTGAACGGCACCCACTGTCTGCATGAGCGAGGCCGTACTAGACAGCGTACTGCTGTGAAAAGCAGTAAGAAGTGCTTCCAAAACTTACGTGGAAGCACACCAGGAAGGACAACAACGCCAGTGTACAACAAGAAATGGCGCAGTTCTGTGCCCTTCCAAGTGTCCATGTCATTTAATGACCTAGCGCGCTGCGAAAATTCCCTAGGCAGGTACGAGTTTAACGCGCGCAAGTTCTAATATATAGTCGATACTTCCGATGTAGACAACCTATGTGCTCTGTCCCTAGGGCTGCGCAGCCAAAGGTTGAGAAGTCTTCTCATAACACCTAGGTAAACCAAATGTAAAGGATCTAAGGGGAAGGAGCTTACCATTCCCACGTTGCACGCCAGCAATGGCGACACGCCAATGCGGAGGCAGTCATCGTCCCTGGAATAAAAATCTTCATCTGTCCTAGCATGTTTGGAGACACTATCATAAACTATCTTATCAACGTACTCTCCCTTAACGCAGCAGCGTTCGCACCCATAGTAAGCATTAACATTCTTAATCTGCTTAATAAAAGCTCTTGCCGGGGCATCACATATGACGGAAGCCAAATGGAAGCGCAGAGTTCTGTCACTCGCATTCAGCCGCAAACCGTCTTCCTTCAACGACAATAAATCGTCGACTAGCGGTTTGTAGAACACCTGCACGTCCGAAGGCTTACCAACTCCACAGTATATACCTACTGTGAAAACCTTACTTAATATTGGCTTCCTAATTCTGCCTAAAATAGGCCAAAATTCACGCTTGGTCTTCCTATGAATTGGAAGACCAGGTATTGCTAGACTTACAACTACTTCTTCTATCGAAGGGGGCAAAGCTAGATTACGCAAATGCGCGTTGACCTGAGTGGCAAGACCCAAATGCATATACTCACCGCTGACCATTGCCGTGCTCGGTGCAGAGACGTATTTCGCGCCCAACAGCGTTCGTGCGTCAGTAGGGAGGTCCGGCAACCACGGTTTCAAAGCCTTCAGCAGATCATTCAAGTGAGAATGCGGAATTTTTGATCGTAAAGCCCACTTTCGCAAACTTTCACGAGGGCTTGCATCCTCCTCCCCTACTTCTGCCGTTGAACCAACTTCTTCGTCCGTAGACACACTACTACCCTTCAAGGAAGAACGTTCGTTCGCCAGCGAAGTTGAAGACATAGACTCGTCCGTGTCGCTTTCAGACCAACTACCGGATGATGTGTCCGACGACGGCATTCCCCCCACCTCTTCGCTGATTCTTCTTATTATTTCTTCAGTTTCTCGGCGTGCTTGACGCCGTATTTTACGCCTAGTAACAGGAGTAAACATAACTGTCAGTAAAAGGAGACACAAGGGAACACAAAGACAAAGACAGTTAGGGTAGGCAATGTCCGCGTAGAGCGAGACACGGTGTGCGCAGTGCAGCGTGAGAGAGCAAAAAGTGGCACCAGCAAGAGCCGGAGGACTATCGGGCACCGAAGCTAATCGATAATCAAGTTCAAGTATGCGCGGCCGCTTGCGCCCTTCGCGACGCCGGCGCAGTCGACCCGGGAACCAATCAAATCGCGAGCAAGCTAAAGACACACTACCCCCCAGAGTACGCTGGCTCGCGGAGAGCTCGCTTGCTATTAGGGTTCGTTGGGGGGTTCGCAATCACGCTTGAAGGTTCGCTAATGATCGCGGGGGAAATTGGCTTTGGGAAGGGGGGCTGGAATGAAACAAGACATATTTGGCGATATGGGGTTCGCAAGAAGGCATCAAGGGATAATATAGGACAGATACCGGGGAAAAATTGTCTAAGAAAAGGGTGATCAAGATTATAACGCGAGTAATCAAACGTTTAGGGATCCGCATTACGTCAGACAGTCTAATATGGCCAGGGATGGGGGCTAAAAACGACAACTATAAGGCGTCACCCTGCGCATTTTCTTCGACGAGGGGGCCAGAAGGGGCCACATCGGGGATTTGCCCCGCCATAGCCCCCTCTCCAGCCCACTCATAGCCCCCTCTGGCCCCGCCATAGCCCCCTCATGAGGCTGGTGCTGGCAGGGCTTGTCCAACGGGCTTTCTCTACCTCCGACGAGGACTGCTTTGCCAAAGTCTTTCAGACTTTCGTGTGCTCACAGTTAGAGTTCGCTAGTTAAGCGTGAAAACCCTGGACCGCTAAGGACCTCAGCATCCTTGTGAAAGTTCAAAGACAGGCAACCAAACCCGTTAGTGGACTCGGCTCACTAACCTACGAAACACGGTCATCCAATCTCGGCCTTTTTCCTGTAATTTACGGACAGCTAAGAGGACACCTGATACAAACGTTCCGTATCATGCGCGGCCAGGACTGCTGTCTTATACCTGCTGATTTTTTTGAGTTGGCAACCACAACAAATCTCCGAGGTCATCCCCTCACATCACGTGTGACTGGCGTCAGGCTGGACACATGGGAATCGTTTTTTTCCAACAGCGTGCTCGAGGCTTGGAATGCTCTACCTGCAGATATCGTCTTGTCCACATCCGTCGATGCTTTTAAGCGCAAGTTACAGCAGTATGCCACCACACATCATAATGTCATCCGACCGATATCGTCCTCGCATTCACTTCCAGCGGTTTATTAATATTATAATATTACTGTCTGTTTTTCAGCAACGTTGTTTCTTTATTATTGTACATGGTCCACTGAATATGAATGTTGGTGTTTACTTCGCCTCCCTCGGATAACTGAGACCGTACCAATATTCTACGGCACAATTATGCATAGACTGACTACCCTACAGCGCATTTGGTAATGTTAATGGTTTTACCACTTAGAACAATTCGTATATCTGTTCGGTTTCGAGAAAAACTTTTGAAGCCGTTTGATGTTTCCATTTTCGAATTTTTGATATAATTCGCTTCCCTGGAGCAGACAGGGGTTCAAAGGTTTAACATTTAAGTTTCTCTCAGATAAGCTGAACTTAAAAAAGGCATCTCCTGACCGCTCTACTCCGTCACCCTCTATGCCTCGCCTCCCGCTGGGGTGGGTCAAGAGAAAGGCCGGCCTTTGTTGTTTGTCCCCTTTATGGCCTTCTCCTTGCTATGTCATTTATTCAAGTTTACTTGTTCCGCAGCAATTCATGAACACGGCGCATTCACTGATTGCACTACGGACTCCGTTCGCAAGAGTAAAATTGACTGGTTCCACGGGGTGCGAGACAGATATGGTGGCAGAGTCAAACGTCGGGAGACTACTGAGAAGATGAAGTTATTGCCTCGAGTTGTTCTAACCTACTTTCGGCTTCCCGTCTGCACCACTACGGCCTCACCTTACCTGACAATGTCTCAGTCCGGAAACACTGTAATTCGCCTTCCCTTATATTGTTAAAACCTTTTTATGTCCAAACTATTCTACCTAATACTGCACTCCACAGTAATGTTGGTTGCTAACACGCCACACTTAAGTAGCATAGTTTTTCAATTCAATTCAATTCAATTCAATTATTTTTATTAAAGACCCGTCGGGTTCCCATCAAAGCAAGTAAAAATAAATTTACATGCAAATTTTAGACGATGTAGGCAAAATCTGCACAAAGTGCAATGCATAGTTTTTGAGATTAGAAGTCCGTTAAGCAAAATGAAAATGAAAAAAATGAAAAAAACGAGGGGTGAAAAAAAACTCCAAAGCAAAATTTAAAAATGATTGTAGTAATTTAACAGGAGAAACAAAAAAACCCCTCAGAAAAATAGCATCAGAAAAAAACAGGGAGGACTGGCCTGCATGTGGCGGTACAAAATGGAATATAGTCCGACATCAACATGGCCGAAATAAATGACAGCTGTATATGGCATTGTGTAACGGATTTCATAAAATGGTACGTAGGCGGATCGGTCAGGACTGGCCTGTATCGCCTTGAATAAGAAAAATAAGTGCCGAAGTTGAAAACCAGTCTCAAGCCGATAGCAACCCAGATGCGGTCGGTTTCATCCAACCGAGTCCATCCGAGCATGGGGGGAGATGCGACAAGACTACTAGTATATGGCGAATATAGAAGGCTTTGTCAAGACCGCCGATGGAGCGCATTCTGTAAGGGCACGATGACAACCAGTCTCGAGGCGACAAGAACCCAAATGCGGTCAGTTACATTCATCAGAGTCCATCCGAGGATAGGGCAAACGAGATGCGACCAGATTACTAGTATATGGCTAATATAGAAGGCTTCGCCAAGAGCATCGATGGAGCACATTCAGTGAGGGCATCATGAAGATCAGTCCCGAGGCGATAGGAACCCAGATGCGGTCGGTTACATTCATCCGAGTCCAACCGAGGATGGGGGAAGGGAGATGCGACCAAACTACTAGTATATGGCGAATACAGAAGGTTCCGCCAAGAGCGTCGATGGCGCGCATTCTGTGAGGGCACGATGCATGAACTAAAAAATTGGAATAATTAACATTTCTGGTGAGGGATCTTAGGTAGCGAGACTACTCATAAAGGCAGGAAACGTGAACAGATACGGAAATTTAATAGCGGCATGCTAAATTCCCGGTGGCCCTTTCTCAGTGTCATAGAAAAAGTTGTCTGGGAAGGATGAGGAAAATAAAAGTTTAATCGAGTCAGTATTCAGATAAAGGCGTAGCCTTCTCTTAAAGGTGTGTAGATTTTCTGAAGATCTTATATTTATTGGAAGGTTATTCCAGAGGAAAGTATATCTGGAAGCGAAAAAAAGGGAGCGCTTAGAGGTGGAGGACGCTGGAAGAGGTATAATTAGAGACGAGTTGCGAAGATTTTATGGGCGACTACTAGGGGTAAGTGTTGAAATCCGAGGAAAATTTGAACTATGATTAATGCGAAAGAGGAGACAGAGGCCCGCTTCTAGTCTTCGAACCCATAAAAAGTTTAGGTTAATTAGCTGGCATCTATCTGAGTAGGAGATATTGGGATGTTCCCTATCTAAAAGTTTTTTTGAAAAACGTCTTTGGACATTTTCAATTTTTAAACGACTGGCTTCATTCATCAAACAAAGGAATGGGCAACAATACTCGAGAATGGGAAGTACAAACATACGATAGAGCCTTAATTTAATTTCAGGAAGATAGAAATTGTAAGAAATAAAGCCACAAATCTGGGCAGCTTTGGCTGTAATTCTGTCAGCGTGCGGCGAGAGATCAAGATTACTAGTGTAGCTTAAACCTAAATCCTTGATGGTGGTACATTCAATCATAGGTGTTCCTTGAAAGACCACAGGTGGGGGTAGCCTATCAGGTCCAAAACACATATAACGACATTTAGACGGAGAGAATTCCATTAGCCATTTTGAGCTCCAAGCTGAGAGAGCAAGCAAGTCAGCATGGATTTGCTCCAGGCAATGAAGGCTCGTAGATTTATTGAAAGAAGATACACATTTGAGATCATCGGCATAAATAAATGATTGAAAATGTTTAACTGCGGCTGAAATATCATTTATGTAAAGCAAGAACAAAAGAGGACCTAAACGGTACCTTGTAGGACACCGCTCACAATAAGACTTTCACTGGAAAGTGAAGATCCCACCAAAACCTTCTGTTTACGATTAGACAGGTATGACCTGAGAAAGTCTATGAGTGGACTGCGAATTCCCATACCTTCCAATTTAACCAAGAGTCTTTTATGTGGCACTTTATCAAAGGCTTTACTAAGATCAAAATAAATAACGACAACAGATAGGTGATCATTACGAAGAGAGGTAAGTAGATCGAGAAACGACAGATGACATGTTTCACAAGAGCGATCTGGTAAAAAACCATGCTGGGAAGGGCTAATAACTTGATTGGCTATGCAAAATTCGGTAATTTTTATGGCGATAATTTTTTTAAAGATTTTGGCGAGAGAGGGTGTTTTATGGACGTCTCTGTTTAATTTAACGATGCTCTTGAAGAACTCCTTCCAAATGCTTTGTTTTATTGCAGGAACCCGATACCCATAACAACAGCCATGCTCACTAAGTACCGTGACAACGCATGGCTTACTAATGAAGGCGAAATTTCGAGTTCCAGGTGTATACATATTTGAAGAAGAAGAAGAAGAGTCGAGCACCGGAACAATTCGTTTATTATCCTGAGCTTTCAGACTCGTACAGGAGTCCATCGTCAGAGGTAGTGGCAGAAACAGGATAAACGGCAGTTATAAGGCACATAGACCCAATCATCGACCGACGTCGCTCGACTGGAGGTGACTACGAAGGACTCTGTACGCCGGCGCCTCGCCGCATTATCACAAGTGGTCGCCCATACCTACGAAATGGGCCACGAGTTTGACTTCGCAGCTACCAAAATAGTTGCCCACGCCGGAAACAATACAGGCCGATAATTTATTAAAGCCTGGGCCTCGGATGAGAACTCGGTCAATCGATTTATAGATCTGGCGCCGGCGTACAGAGCCCTTCGTAGTCACCTCCAGTCGTGCGACTTCGGTCGATGATTGGGTTTATGTGCCTTATAACTGCCGTTTATCCTGTTTCTGCCACTACCTCTGACGATGGACTCCTGTACGAGTCTGAAAGCTCAGGATAATAAACGAATTGTTCCGGTGCTCGACTCTTCTTCTTCAAGCGTGGCTTACTGCTCATACTATAAATTCAACTTTTTTGTTTAATAAATTATTTACAACTATTAATTGGCGTCCAGATGTCTAGCCAATCTGGCTGGCTCGGGGCTTCGAAGTGTCGAACTAAGGTCTGATATGGCAGTGATTGTGGGAAGGGGAAAGTCAGCAGCGTAATAGGGACAGGGCCAAAACTGCGAAAATATGGTGCCTCCCTGCGAATTTTTTTCGGCGAGGGGAAAGAAGAGGCAACACTGGGGATTTGCGCCGCTATAGTCCCTCGGCACCTTTTCTCTAGCCCCACTACAGCCCGCTAAAGTCCCCTTAACAGACGGAACTGAGGAGTGGCAAGGCGGGGCTGGTGCTGGCAGGGTCACTAGACCTTCCGATGAATTGAACTATTTTGGGAACAGCTGTTTGCTGTTGGACTCGCATGCCCTACTTGTGCGTATTCGAATCACCAAATGGCCTAGAGGGATTGTTCCTATAAATTACTTCGACGCGCACATTTACGTTTGATACAGAATTCTGCAATCAACGGTAAATGCACTCTAAATTGACGTGGTTGTCGTGCTTTGATATGGTACTCAGCAACAACACAAACGGTATGTGTGCTCGACCGCTGTCCTGACCATAAACACGGTAGAGAAACAAAGCACGATCAGTCACGACGTAATGTACTGAAGTCAGAAAATCATCCTCACTAAGAACTGCGTGTATGTATAACATCTTCTGCAGGGTTGCTAACAGCATGTCCAATCCACCCCAAAAGGAAAGGCTAGATGAGCCGAACAACTTCCCGTAGACACAGGTTAACGAGGTTCTAAGAAAACACTGTGGCCAAAGCCAGTGACAATGCACTCTCGAGAGCAGGCTGCCACATGGAGACAGAACTCAACGGGGACGCAAACAAGGGCTTTTTAGCAAGATTGACCGAGGCTTCTTTGAAATGTAGACATTCCGAACAAATCCCCTTCAAGCAGGTCGATTTTTCTTCTGTTGTGAATTAGCCTACATCAGCAGCGCTGATCTGCGCATACGGTCTGTACGGCGACTAAGTATCAGTTTGCGATCTGAAGACATAAAGACGGCGATTAATACGAAAGGCGACCCACTTCAAGGAGGTATAGCTACTGGTCTGGAAATCGGCCGAACTGTTGGAATGGATAAATCGCTCGACGGGATACCGATTCGGTTTCGATTGCATTACCGTAATATCGTCGTCGGGTGTAATTGTGTTGAAGCGTCCCGATGTCATCACAAATGCAGATGCGGGAAAAAACACTACCTCGGTGAGTTACTAAGGCCACCCCAATCCAGTTACACAATCACGGCCGAAATCGGATATTACGACAGGGAGTTTGATGCGAGAGACAGATGCAGTTGTCCGCACGAACTGTATACCGTTAGAAACGACCGAATGAAACGCTGTATGTATCTTGCGACCCATCAAGACTCAGGCAGGAGGGAAGCCACCATGGGACTTCCGATTTGGGGTAGTCCTGAACAAACACATAAACATAAACACAAACATAATTCCTGTCTGCACTCCTTGTGCCACCAGTACCCTTATCTGCAACTGTCTCTGATGATGGGTTCGAGCGGTAATCCGAAACGTCAGGCAAATAAATTTATTGTTCCAGTGATCGCATCTTCGTCTTCCGCCTGGATTATATCGTCCGTCGTCTCCTCCCACAAGCTTTCAAAGAGGCTCTTGAGTTTGTTAACGAAACGCTCCGCCTGGCCGCTAGTTTGATGGTGATAGGGCCAGAAACTAGTGTACTGGAGGATCCATTGGCAGCAGAACTCCTCAAATGTTGAGGAAGTACAGGGGAAGCCATAATCCGAAACGAGAACAAATTAAATATGCGATCGCCGGATTCGACGGAAAAATCCCGGGTCTCTCCGTTTAGGCGTCGACTTATGCAGCCGACGAGGCGGCATCTTGGTTACTCGCTGCCAGCAGGAAGGGCTCCGAACCAAGCCGTCGATGTAACTGTAAATACCCGGCCAATAGGCAAAACTGCGAACAGTTGACCACATTCGGCTGGTATCGGGGTTGGCAACACGAAATTGGCGGAGCGCGGCAGGTCGAAATGAAGTTTGAATAACCACGCGTTCTGCAAAAGTGAGACAGGCATCGACCACGGAAGGCGATAAGATACGCAGGGGTAGGCGTTGAAGATCATCAAGGAGGCAGTGGTTAGCCAATAGGTCTGTACGTAGAAGACGGCTAAGCAGAGAACAGGACCATGTTCGGTAGGCGTTGGATGACGGCAATAATAACAGGCATTCCTTCCACGACGTCCAAGAGCTGACAGCGCACATCGTCCTCAGTCAAAGCGGCAACAATCATTGTGTCTTTCCCTGGTTTCAGGCGGTTGCAGACGAGGTGAAGGGGTGTGTCGGCCTGCCCAGCGTTGGCAGCACGACAGCAGCAGATGTGAAGACCGCGACCAAAGAGTATGATTGCCCAAAATCGAAGTCGGTCAATTCAGTTAACTGAAATACCCTTCCTAAAACCGGCTCTGAACGGCAAAATATTTGTGGTCTGTACACCACGTAAAGTGACGGTTGCGTGGCGGGGTGTGGAACTTCTTGACGGCAAAGGCAGTAGCTGATGCCTCTATCTCGATTGAGCCATAGTTTTTCTGCGGGTAGTTTTTGCCTACGATAAATGCATGATCGCTCTTTTAAACCCTTCGGAAAATAACAGCACCGACTTTGTGACTGCCGCAATGACGATCGCCGTGTCGGATCATAATGCGTGAGTAGCAGATCCGAACGTAGTATCGACCTTAGATGAATGAAGGCCTTTTCCAAATCGGAGGACCGACACCCGGGAGCATTTTTCGTCAAACGACAATTGGGCGAGACCCCTAAGTCATGCAGCGACGACATGAAGGCATTGTAGTAATTTATCAGGACAGGCTACGAACGGAGTCAAAATAAACCACGGGATGCGAGCTTTCGTTGGACAGCACAAATATTTTCGGGCTCTGGATGGTGGCCGGTAGAGTCCGTGTTTGCGTCGTGTGAACCAGGTTCGTCGAGCATGAGATTACATTGCGCAAAACGGACTGAGCGCTAGGACGAGGGTTGTAAATTTTTGGATAGTTTATCGGTCCCCTCTTAGCTGCTCCTGCTACCCCTTTGTTGCAGAACAGATATCAGATCAATAAGTCCGTAAGTGTCCGGACGTGCATGACTACTATTTCAATAAACACGTATAATGTGTATCGTTTTCTCGTGCGTATAAATAATTCCTGTATCAAAGGTGCTCAGGAGTAAAACAAGTGAGGGCCACGCCTGTTCTCTAGCAAGTTCTTCGAGCAGTTTTGCTGGGATTTCGTGCTGACCAAAGGTCAAACTGTTTTCATATTTCTTAATTATCGAAAGTTCTATCCTTCATGGAAGAATGTTTTTAGTAATTTGAGTTCTCAGTTCCTAGTGAATAGCTCGAGAGAAGACAACTTTCCTTGTGAAAACAAATTCAACGAGCGGGAAAATTTACAGGACTTTTTCCTGTATTCTGAGGTCCTCATCTGTCCTTATCAGGGTGTCGGATTTCTACAGCATGTGTCCTTCTACGTGAAAGCGCAAAAAATCAAGGATTTCTGGCGCTTCGGTGGAACAGATAACTTTTAAGTGTCCGTAACTTTAAAATTAATTTCATTAATCTTATCCCTCTGCGCTTTTTGCCACATAAATTCTGCAATTTCTTTGTGACTTTTTGGCTTCTTTCATAATTATTACTTCAGCTGCAGGCCTTCTTCAAGTTTTGGTATGACTACTGAGGCCCGTTAGATTCTCGGTCGTCGGCAGTGCCACCCAAGGAGCGAGCTTTCTAGTCTGTGAGCAATATTTGGACCCTACCTAAGGGAAAATACCTCGTCCGTTATCTGGACTAATTCAGTTTGGTGCTGGTAGTCCATGAGAGCGAGCATAAGCAAACAATATGCCCCATCGTCTCCTAGCGAATGGTGGCAGAATTCAAATTATTATAATCTTGGTGTCCACTTGCAGTATTCTTGCACAGAAAATGATGTTCCGGAAGTCTTGCTTTTGCTTGATCATAACACTGCTTCATTTTTTACAACTTTGTATTCACGTGGCAGCTGACTTCGTGGTCTGTTTGACTTGTCCGGCTTGCTGGCAGTTTACCTGGTCTCGTTGATTTGCTCTGTCTTACCGCTCTGTTTTACCGCTTTCCGATTTTGTCAACAGTGTGCTTTCTGCCGCCTACTATTCTACCATAATCTTGATCTCTACACTAATTTCTCTGTCGTTCTCCTCTTTATGGAGAGGCGCGCAGTCGTGCTTGACTTTACTTGCTGCATTGGCTCTAATCCTCTTTCTAAAGAACTCTGTCAAGCACTGCATTACTAGCCACGTGGTTTATATTCTCGGGGTTCTTAAAGAAAGGGGTCACATCATTCAGGAGGTTAAGGGATGAAACCCGAGTTCGAGACGCCCGAACTGTAACCATTGGTCTCTGGTTTAATTTTGCCTACTGTGTTATGGACTTATCAGGATTCACGTAGGTCATCAAATACTTATGGCTTTTCTGACTGCAGAGAGACTTAGGTTTATAAACAAGCATGTGAGGCGATGGCTTTTCTAAGACTAGAGTTGCATGCGGGACAGCGCGCTGATTAAAACAAAGGAGTTTGGTTCAAACGATGACGGAGTACATAGGCTTGTGGGAGCCCATTAGTTTGGGGAAGCAAAAAACGTACGTTATTCCGCATTCTATCCGAAAAAAGACTCTCTCGAAAAACTGATCCAAACTGCACATCCGGAGAAAATTGTGTTTTCCTACCGGCTCGCGAAATAGTGTCACATTTTTGTCCTTCGTATTCTTATAACTACAACTGAAGTGCCCTTGCCTTGATCCCCCAAATCCCCAGGCAGTCTGATTTCACAGCCTAGTTAGCACTGCCCTATAACCGTGACGACCCTAGTTTCATCCACGTTTGACAGATAACACTCCAGCACGACCTCTGTCTGCAATTGAGGTGTCAGAAACTCTATTGTTCGATTATGTTTGATTTAAGCTTACGTGTCATGAATGGGCAAATGTATGCGAATCGATGTACAATCCTCCTGGGAGCCGTGACAAATAATGATGAACTCGGTCCTAAAAATAACTCACACTTCACCGTCGGGCGTTAATCCCGACTCAAGTGGCGACCACTTTAAGTCAGGAGTTGTAGTTCTTAAGGCTCGATTACCTGAGTATTAATAAAATTGCTCAACTCTTAGTGTTGGAAAGAGTCAGTAAACGGTTTTGGCTAAAAAGAGTCTTGAGTATCCGAACGAACAAAATCGCATTAATTTACTCGATGATCAAACTAGGACAACAGAATTTCTGCTTTCGGCATCTTAAAGGAAAGGGTATGACCTGCGTACACAGAAGCTCTTTTAAATCAAGCGATAACTTACTGTGGCTCACAAAACAATTTAGAAAATCTACCACCAGGGCCTCCGAATAATCGACAGCTGTGTACTCTACTTGTTGTGCCATTGTTTCCGAGAGAACCATTAAAGTCAGCCATTATTTTTCGAGGACTACGATGGATGAGAGGAAACGAACAAGAATGGTCATCTAACTGAAAGCTACAGCCTGTAGTCGTGGATAATTTGAACTAAAAGTCGAGTATCTGGAATGTGCTGGGGTAGGTTGAGATGGCGCGTATGACACAGTCGCACCCATTCATTTTATAAGTGATATTTCTGAAACTTGCAATGGCTGTCGGAGGGAGTTCGTGGATCCTAAATAACGTTGATGATCCGGGTTTTCTTAACATGTTACAATTGACTTGACTGGGGTTGCGATCAAAATTGGTCCACCTGGCGGCTTACACTGTCTGCATGTTGTGGAACAACTGAAGGTACAAATTTCACCTTGCCACTATGGGCGCAGCGGGATGCTTACCTTCTAAGCCTGTGGGACAAAAAAAAACGGTGTTCTGTTTGTAGTAGCAAGACAACGTACTGAAGTACAAGTACTCCTAGCGTAGTTATAAATCTATACGTAACCCTTAACTTGACGGCGGTGACCTCTGACATTAACTCGCTCTAATGCCCTCCCTTTGTACAGATAATTGTTGCAGATGTCATTTAAAAGCCCATGGTTTGCCAGACAGCTTTAGGGAGCTATATTTGTCTTTTTTGTTGGCGATTCTCGTGCACTTTTTTATATTTTTTTCAGTTTTGCTTTTGACGTCTTTACGCGTTTTCTTAGGATTCGTGTGCGTTTTGTTTGCTGTTGTTTTCGTCGTTTGATTCCAGCGCTGTTAATAAGCTTCCTGTAAGTTAAATCGGTTCTTGTTTCTTTATTCGTCGTTACTGAGCCCTCCGTTGTTTGGCCTCAAGTCTGAAAATCCAGAGCCACAACCTTTGCTGACTATGCGCACTGGCATATAAGCATGGCTCGTTGAGGAAAAATGTGATGATCTTTTAAAAGTTTCTGGTTACCATGCACCTTGAGGATATTGGGATTATTAAAGGATGAAATCGTTTTAGCTTTCTCTCACGCCTCCAGTGGACTTAAGGGATGTGTTTTAATTCCCCAGTTTTAACTTGTCAGAATTAAAGTCGGCGACGTTCCGTCAAAGTCGTGTTCGCCGACGTCATGCGCTGGATACCCGTCGAATCAAACCCAGATGTCTTGAATAAAGTAAAACTGTGCTTTGGCTTGACGCTTTAGTTCATACGCCAGCTTGGTGTCCCTAATCAACTAGGTTTCTCCGACGTACTCGGCGTTGATCCTGTGTTACAAGCACTCGTGCCGAAGCCTCTGTTTGCACTTTTGCTTTTGTATCCGATCAATGAAAATGTCACCTCACAGACAATAGGTGATGTATCAGTAAATGAAGATTGTTTCTTCATAAAACAAACCATCTCAAACGCATGTGGAACGATTGCAGTCCTCCACGCGTTGGCCAACATCAGGGACAAGATTGACACAACGAGTATGTTTGCCTAATCACTTGTGAGATAGTATTATTCCCACCTAAAGTGTTTATTTAGTAGTTTCTGTCACGTACTAGTAGGACGCATTCCAGGGTGGCGAAGGCTCAGTGTTGTGGTTCTCTGTAGAGGTACTGGATCAAAACGAAGACATATTGTCCCAGGGTACATGTTACTCAGGCTGTGCAATCCGTGTAAGCTTATTAGTACTATCGTACGTGGGAGGAGTGTGGTTGCACATCCACGCAGCGGCAGACACTACGGTCAATTCCACCGCCCGTTGGCCGACATGCTTGGACAGTCAGGCGGTGCGTGGGAGGAGTGAGGTCGACACCGGGAAATCCGTAACCATATCATCCCAGCGCATCCCTCACTATAATAGTCAAGACGCGATAACCTATCACGACGCGCCAAAGTTAGGGTTAGAGGGATGTTAGCTGGTAGGACAACTTGATCCGTCTCGTGATTGAGAGTCGGGTTGCAATGGCTCGTTAAGGTAGCTTTTACGGCATTCCGGCGCATTTGAAGTCCGACCCACCCTTAAAAACCTGACACATTTAATGGTAGCCAGATCACGTAGACGGGTTGTCTAGTTGTGTCACCCATTGCGCTCGACCCACCGCCAGTCTTCTCGACATGGTTTTGGCGCCGTAGCAAAGTGTTTAGAGGGGAGAGTGCGGTAGTTTCTGCGCAAGTCGGCTTTCTGCGGCCACTCCGTGGGACCCACAGCGGACTTGTTCGCGACGGCCAAATTGTTGAAGTGGTGGGTCACCTTAGCATCAGAGCAATTTACTCGGTTGAGTGCCTTCCAACTTTCTTTTTTCATGTTAAGGTTCCCAAGTTCCAACTTATGGGACTTTTATACTGTCATTATTTTGTCCGAGTTTGGGGGCATCTGGCTTTATAACTTTCACTGGTGTCACTTGGTCGGGCATGTCCGCCCACCAAATACGGGGAGGAGATGCAGCGAGCTTCCGAATTTTACTAATGCATTTGCTTTAAGATTATTACTGCAAATTAACTGCGCCATTATTTGGCGTAACTTTTCAAAGGTGGTAGATGTGTCCTCTGCATTCAAAATTGCCGCAAATTGTCGCGTATTTACCATACTGTACGGAACTCATCCTTGAATCCGTTACGTTAAGTCATTTGCACCTATGCCATTCGTCGCCACTGATCTAACTGACTCCATATTTCACGTTTAGAGCATTAATCGTGGTTGCCGCCTGGTGCAGTCGATCAACGGCAGATTCTCAGCCAAAGCCGAACCAGTTATCACGTTAGCTGCGAAGATCTAAGACAGCTGGGTCACAGCCAAGCCTGATGTCAGCCCTCGCCACGACTCCCACGTCCTAATTTGACGGTCTCGTCGCCGTCGCTAGCCCGGACTGAAATCGGATGAGTTTACATTCAGATTTTGCTCTCAGGTCGATGCATCATTCCACCGGACCATCTGAGTCAACAGTTGAGGGGTTCCTTTTCCGACCGAATATATGGCCGTTCATTAAAGACGCGATTGGAGAATCGGATTCGCGGATAACGTTTTAGTGGAAGCATCTTTTACTTTCAGTCTGCTCTCACCTATCGCGGGGATTTCAGTCACCTGTGATAAGGGCTGCTCGCCCCTGGCTGATCCGATTGTCGTTTTTACAGTGTACGTTTGAAGGATGGTTGGGCTGGAAGCAACAGAAGTTGTCCGCTGGTCTTAGAGTCTTACCTTGGTCGGCCGCAAGGCCCGAGGTTTTTCCCTTTCATGTAAGAGCTAATTTTCAGGTCCATTTCTTAGGTTGTAAAAGGTGAAGGTTCCAGGCTGATAACCTGAGAAAGAGGAAAAGCTCATCAGAGCGGAGTTATCATGTTGCTGAAGTTTCAGAGAACTTGGTCGATTCATCATTGTCCAGGCATTTAATTCAGAATATCGTACAAAATTTCAAATGACTGACCGAGTTAGTCAAACCTAGACTGGTCGACTTTTTCATCGTTCGCTGCCTCGGACATTTGACCGATGCTCGGGGGGCCTGACGGCCGCTTGCGCTGCGAATCGTCACCTCTGTTGAGGTTGGTTGAACCTCTGTCTCTCCCACGGGCGAGTTCATCGGCGGGACGTGTCTGCTCAGTTTCCTTATGTTCGGTGTGGCTATCCTGTCCTGTAGTAACGCAGAACTTTGTAAGCCACAGGAAGGTCTAGACGCCTGTTGATAGAGTTGGCATCAGAATGCCACGCCTTAACTGTCGACCATCCTGCCCTTGAGGTGCCCTGGCCTACGATGATCGCTCCTTGAAGGTCAAAAACGTGACAAATTTGTTTGGTGTGAGTTGCAAGTTGAGTTTGGGTCTAGCTTCCGAGTTGCCAATCTGTGTTCGCGTGCGCATGTCTGAAGTTCTTGCCCGTTTTCCCCAACGCAATTACAGTTTTCGGGCGAATCAAGCATAACTTGGCAGCTCGGAGAAAGTCGATCAGTCTAAGACCGAATAGCACGGCTAGTCATTTAAAATTCTGGCCAATATTCTGCATAAAACGCTTTGACAATGGTGATCTGGCCAAGCCCTCCGAAACGTCAGCAACATCACAACTCTGCTCCATTGAGCTTCCTCCCTTCCTCGTGCCCATCCATATTGTATTTGAACTTACTCAGGACATCGCTCGCCGCGCTTTTGCAAAAAGAACTTTCCAGCACTACAACATCATCAGGATAGTGAAGATACGTAATACACGAACCATAACCTACTGGTACCCGTGAGTAGCCGAAAAACTCAGTCTACCACGCAGTTGAACGAGGTCAATGAGGGAACGTAGCCCTGGTGGTCACCAGAAGTAATATTAAGGAAATCTCTCCACTCACTGGTCACAGATTGTGGTCCTTGTTCGGTGGTGGCAAGCTTAAATTATTTGACATAACCTCGGTGGCGTGTCAACACACAGCGTAACCAGTAGCCAGCGTAACTCAGTCCCTGACGTCAGCCTGCTATGATGGACAGATCTTTAATTATCAGCAGATCAGGTGCAATCCTCGCGACAACAACGACTTGCGCTTGAACCGTCTTAGTTAAAGCCAGTTGATTTTAGACCGGAATCTTTCACACTGTTATTGAGGAGGTTAGAGATATTCGGAAAGAAGCTTGGGGCGGTCTACGGTGTAATCCCTTACAGGTCATGCCTTTTCGTCTGTACGTAGTCTGAATCGTAGTCCAACCCTCGGTGCGTCAGATGGTCGAGAAATCATCACGCCAACATCCAACGCACGTGATGAAATTGCAGTAATTATCGACTCGAATGTCGGCCATCAAGCAATGATCACACCAAGTGCGACGATCCCGGATGAAGGGGGGAGCCGTGAATGTTCATAGGTATGCGGTAGCATGGCTACTGCATCCTATAAATACCGCAGCCCCTTGTGCAACAACCACCCGTTTCTGTTTTTTGTCTCTGATGATGGATTCGAGTAGGAATCCGAAACGTCAGGCTAATAAAGCTCTTGTCCCGGCGATCGTGTCTCCTTCTTCAAGTCCAACCCTCACAAAAACCTGGTTAAGACTATTCTCGGTACCAGTGTCGGCACAGCGCGAGAGTCCATTGAGCGAACCCAGCCTGCCGGAACAAGTATATGGTCAAGTTGATCTTGACTCTGAGCAACACTTAAATACCATGCGACAATGTTTTTTCCTGAGGTGTCGGAAGTGGACACTTGTAATAACCAATTGGCTCAGCGTAGCGAGATTGATAAGCCTCTCGCCATTCACATAAGTTTTCCATTGCATGGTGACCGGGGCCTCGTACTCCGCCGTCCCTGTCTTCAAATTCTCCGTCACAAGAAGTGAGCGAGCTGCGACGTTTTTCCACTGTCAACACCTCTTAAAGACATCGTGCCGCATACCACCATCATAACCGCCACCATCATCATTATCATCAACAACAACCATTATCCTGTGATAGCGCGTACACCAGAATAACTGACCAGGCAGTTCGAACACTGCAAACTTGCGAAATGATATGCGTTGCCCTGATTTCAGAGACGACACTAGAGATGTAGTGGGCTTTTTTCCAGACTTTTACAACATCTATCTGATATTTAGCGTGTATCAGGTTTCTACAAGGACGGCTCGCGTCTCACATCAGCCGAAGCTCTATAAAAGCCGCATCAAGACCGTAGATCGTCACCGAAAGTGGCAGTCTCCCACCAGTTGCGCTGGTGGTAGTCTAAGGTGGTGGTCTTTCATCCAGACTGCAGAAGCAGAAGAAGCCTGACGTGGTCTTCTGTAATTCTAATAATTAGAACGGTAGACAGTGACGTCGTCTCACTGTGTTCCGCCCTCTCTGCCTTGTAGATATGACCTGGCTGAACAATTACATTAAACAGACTCAAAGCCTTTCGCCAGCTGAACGTGGCGAGAAGCTGGAGCAGGAGCAGGTATGTGCAGGTACGTTTTGTTACCCCCGTTTTTTTGTACAGGAGCTCAGCACTATGCACGAGGAATGCGCCCTGGAGGGTCAGACTGAGGTAAACACCCGTCTCGTGCACTTTGTCTCGTAGGCCCCTGAAGCCACAGCCAAGGTCGATCTGCACTTTGTTGCCTTTGTGAATTGTCACGGGAAGTTGATTGAACTAGGTAAGTGCCAGAGTCCGTCTTTCTTTTTTTTCAATTTGCCTCGAAGACATCTGCTAAATCACATGTACATTTTACGTTTTTCGTTGGGTTATGCCAAGCCACTGGCATTATTTCACCTAGCGGAGGTGTTACACAGACGAAAACTGGTTTTACTCCTCTGTGAGTGTGGAGTTAGCCGATATGTCTTGGTCGTAGGACGAAGATGTGTGGAAGTTGGCGAGCGTACCGTGTGCTTTCGATAAATCATGGCCGAGCCAGGATGCCAGAAAAGCATTCGAGGGATAAGAAAGATCGATTACAATTCGTCATCTCTCTCAAGTGGGATGCGGGACTAGGGGGGGGGGGGGGTAAGGCAGTGAGGGATATGTAGAGTCGTGCGGGGGGAGAGCGTGGGAATGTGCATGTGGTTAACCGGACCTTTGGCCATGGTAGATTCAGCTCTTGCACCGCCAGTTCGATGGTCCACCACGTGCGACATAGCAGGATGAGAGCAGGGACGGTGACTCGCGCGCAAATTTGTTTGCAGTGGTGGGAGACTTCCGCCGCATTTACCGCACTCTCTCCTCCTCCACCACCTGGGCTCCGTTTCAGGACAGAGTCAAGAAGTCCGGAAACGGAGGAGGACGCAGGGGGCGGTTCACGGCGCAAACCCGCACCTAGGCGTACCGCCACACCCCCTGGTCTACAACGCACACCGACCAGGGTTTTATACTTTGATGGGACCCCGACGGGTCTTTAATAAAAAAATTATCTTAATTATCTCATACGACAAAAAGGGGGGGGTTCTCAGACCCAATTAGTGCGGACTGGTTCTGCGCCTGGGCGTGTCGTCACACAACGCCAATGTTATGGACGGGCATTCCTAATAACACCTGCTGCATCCCGGCTTAGTTCCGGTGTTGATCCAGTGCATCTATCATGTGCGCACACAAGACTGGCTGCCGCAACCTGATGGCAATTGCTTTTGCTGTCGCTAGCAGACGTTGACCCCGTGGCTTAAGGCAGCTCGGTGGAACCGTAGCGCAATTGATGAGCACCCTTCTAAGTTGTTGTTATTTGTTTCGTTGTCACGGACTATCGAAGTGATTGCCGTATACGTATACGACGTTTGCCTCGAAACCCCACGTAGACGTTACTTCAGCCGCGTTGCGAATATCGGATCTTGCCCAGTCGACGACTGCTCGCCGGTAGCACTCAACCGGTCTGGGTCCGTCTCGGGGCGAAAGTCCGATGATTATGTGAAATCAATGATGGCAAAGGTAGGGTGTAGAACCCCACGTAGCTGGCAATTCAGCGTAACTGTAAACACCACTTTGGTTAAAGTTTCCTTACCTTCCTGACCAAATGTAAACTTACCAGCGGCGGTTTACCCAAAGTCCGTTATTTTTCGAAAGTTGCTTTTTGTTTATTTTTTTTAATTATCGCGCTCACTTTCTTTGCCAAATGGCCGCGTAAGATAAGACTTTCGGCGGGTATGACACGGTCCACAGACCAGCTCAAATTATTTGGGATCCTACACCCTACCGTTGCTTCAAGGATAACAAAAAATGACTGTTTCTCTCATCGCCGAAGCTTATATTTTTGCTTTTGCTGTCAACCTGTAATTTCTTTTTATTTACTTCCCTGCCTTCTTTGCTGCATGGCTTCCATCCGTCTAGACGGCCGACGCGATGGGCCCGTCTGTCATGGCACGACTTCCGCAGACAGTCTTCTAGAGGATGCCTGCAATGTCGTCAAGAAGTTTATGGAACGTGACCCAGAAAATCTTCACTTTAGTCTGATTGCCTTAACGGAGCTTCAGGACTGATATTCCCGCTGCTTTCTTGGCCAACTGCTCTCATCAGCATTCGTTCCCGAACAGAATAAATCTCCCCTCCTTTTTGCTTTCAGAGCATTCCGTCTGTTTAAACGACTCTTCCCTGTGCCTTTCTGCTGTGAAGCATCAATTTTCTTCATTCAAAACGCTTCTTGCCATATGTTTCTGGCAGCTAATCATCAGGACACTAGGACTACGTGAAGAGTGGACATGCGAGTCGTAGACAGGGTTTATAGGTGTCTCAGGGGTTAGTCATATTCGTCATTCCCATGACGAGGTCGAAGTGTTGTCATTTGGCCCGGGGGGATGGGGTGTGATCGATGTTCGTGTGTTAAGTGCACTGCCCCCCAAACGCATTCTGACAGGCATTATGGAATTGCGCACCATAACAAATGCCAGCATTTCGGGATGCGGTGGCAGACCCGGTTGCCGGCAGACGTCGCGCGCACTGGGACCCCTGCCGTTCCCTCGTTGTTGTTGGTCAAAAACCTGGTCATTTGCTGTGTGGAGTGGAGCGCCAAGGTGCGGGCTCGACCGCGCCCTCTTCTTGACTATGTCTTGACACCGTGCCCAGGTGGGGGAGGAGAAAGGAGTGCGGTAGATGCTGTGAAGGTCCACATTCACTACAAATTAATCCGTGCAAAAGTCACCGTCCCTGCTCCACCTCGCTGTAGAGCACACGGTGGACATCGTCGGCAACGACGGTCGAACTGTTGTGTTAGGTGCGCGGAGTGCGTATGACCGTCACCAAGAGGGTTGGGGTGGTGTGCGATCGCCACTTGGATTTGGCGTTGGGCACGTGCAGTAGGACGCCTGCAGCAACGTCTTCTGACAACAAGGTGCTGGACCCGCTGGCCGCCGTTGCTGACAGACTTAGGCGTCTAGAGTAGTTTGCCGGTGTCTGAGGGGCTTCTTCGGTGCCGACTTGGTGATTCGTGTGGGCAAGATGCGCGAGGATGGAGCTCGAAATCGATCCGTTTTCGCCTCTACCTAGTTCGGCGGGCATGTGTTTGCGTTCTCCAGACGCTTCGCTATACAGCTGATGTATCCCTCTCCACGGGAGCAGGCGAATGAACAGATGCACATTGACGTGGCCTGTAGTAGTAGTAGTAGTAGTAGTAGTAGTAGTAGTAGTAGTAGTAGTAGTATTAGTAGTAGTAGTAGTAGTAGTGGCAGTAGTAGTAGTAGCAGCAGTAGTAGTAGGTCTACTTCCCAACCGTAGGGGAGTAGAGTTTCGCAAAGACCTCACGTACAGCGGACGCGCTACCTCGTGAAATGTTAACCGGGATTTTGAAATGCGCTTTCGACTCGGAAGGATTGTAATGTTAATCACCGTGCAGCTTGATCCCAAGATGCTTCATTCACGTCAGACCGGCGGCTTTTGAACGAACTGGTAAGATGTGGCCATGTAGCCCCATCTGATGGACACAGTACTGTTGGCGTTAGGATTAGTGCGACTACTTCTCAACCGCTCAAAGTACAACCGCACATTCCAAACAGCTCTTCTTTTGCATACAATTACTTGGTCTCGTTGCCTGCGCGTTCCCCGGCTCCATCTGTAAAAACCCCTATTACAACCGATCCCGTATTACAGGTGGTTGCGGTCTGTTTACTTCATGTGGGGCTACATAACAACATCTTACCGAACTTCTTTTCGGCCGTCCGCAAAAACTACGCCGTACAAAGTAGCCACTTAATATGAGTTTTATCTGACTTATTTGTCATGCCCTTATAAATTCAAATATATTTTGTAAGAAGCACGCGCATAAATGTCCATTATGTTACTTATTTAGTAGCAAATTACGTCTTTTTAGCTTTTATACTTTCATGAAGAATATATTCTGGTTTTAAAACAGCTTCTGGCTCTGAGATTTTTTAAGACTGCGGTGTCTATTCATAAAACACCGTGTGTCTATATTTACTAGTGTTACTTGTAAAGTGTACCATATGGTTCGAATATACTGTAAAATCCGATGAACCTCGTACGGTATTTCCATGATGCATGATTCTCCTTACCTAGAAAATATACAACTTGTAGTTTGAAAACCCTGACTGCAAGTGTGTCAGTAGGCCGGGTTCAAAATTCCTCGGGATGGAGGAAATTTTTAAAAACCAATTTACACCCTTCTTTCAAGTATGAAACGTAATTTACTACCAAATGAGTAAGGGGGTGAGTATTTTTCTGCATGTTTTCTATAATTTATAGGGACATCGAAAAATCGATGAGAAAAATTCAGGCTACTCAAACAGCCATTATTTACAGTGTGTTTTCTGCGGACGGCCGGAAGAAAGCTCGTTCAAAAGCCGACACCCTCACGTGACTGAACTATCTAGGGGTTATGCTGCATGGTAGTTTATGTTTCAACTTTATTCAGAAGAAAAGGTGGCGAGTGAACATCGCTTTCGATAACTTCTCGTCAGGCCGGTACAGTTGTATGGGACGGGGTACAGTGAGTGAAAAAAAATCGATACAAGTTAGTTTTTAAAACACAGGCTAGGCAAGAGCGGAAGGGCGCAGCAAGTTGTATGTGGTTAGTCAACCGTTGAACACGGTAGGCGTGCAGTCTGATCGAGGTTCTTCTGGGCGCATAGGGTCCGTTTTCATAACCTGGTTGCGGCCGCTTCTGCTGTTGATAACAGGCGCTGACCCAGTAGCTTACGGTAACTCGAGGGAACCTTATAAATCACACGAAATGCTTCAGCGGGGTCCACACGATGCCCTAAATCCACTGCATGCTCAGGGATGGCGCGGCTTATATTCCTTGTTTGACTTTTTGCCTGTCATGCGAGAAGGTGCTCTCGTATTCTTTTGGAAAGGTGCCGACTCGTACGACCAGTATAACCTGCTCCACAGGAGCAAGTGAATGAGTAGACGTCCTTTGAGGCGGTCTGAGGTGGCAGCCTATCCTTGCCTTCTCTGCGTAAAATAGGGTTAGTAGTGAATGATATGTGAACCCTTGCTGCTGGGAAGGTTCCCGAGACAACTTTGTCAAGGCGTCTTCTTAGGAGTTCACTTGCAGCGTCTCCTTGGAAAGGGACTTTGAGGAACGCCTTTTTTCTTTTCGGCGGTCAGTGTGGTGGGTTTTGAGGGTCGTTCGGCAAGGTTCTTTGCAATGAACCCGTCAGGATACCCGTTTTCGCGAAGCAAGTACTGGATTTTTCTAAGTTTCTCCTCGATACTATCTGTTGAACAAATTGTTCTAGCCCTTTGTGTCAAACAGCTGACTAGATTTCGTTTTTGTTGGAGAGGTACGAAATTAGCGATGTTCGTGTATTGTCCAGATCAGGTTTTCTTCCGATAGACGCTCCTTCGGATACTCCCGTCAGATCTCCTGTTTAGAAGGACATCTAAGAAAGGAAGCGAACCGGCCGATTGCATCTCTGACGTGAATTTGATCGATGGATGTGCTCAGTGTACAGCGTTTAGGAGGACAGCAACGTCGGTTTCTGTGGTTGCAATCGCAACGACATCAGCAACGTAGCAACCGTACTGTTTGAGCTTTTTGATCTGATCGCTTAGTTAAAATCTCTCCGGCTTGCCCATGAAGACGTCGGCTGAGAGAGGCCGAAGAGGCGAGCCCATAGCAACGCCATCTATTTTTCTATAGAGTAGGTTGTCAAAAAGGGACTGCACATTTAATATATACCTTAGTAATAGTTCCTCGAACCAAAAATGCATTTCGGAATTTCGGTCAACAGATAATGAAATAGCACATCTACGTTAAGTTCGACACAGGGAAAACTCCCGTGACAGCTGCCTTGGAATGTCTTACTGGTTCGCTTACTTCGTCCCCTAGACAAGGAAGTCTTGGAAGCGCGTCTCCCTTGTCTGAAATTGCGGTGGTAGAGTTTGTGGCACGCTGCCCAGTAATTCGGAGGATGGATCTCTCTGGATAGCCGCTTTCACGAAGCGTGTTCTGCAGCTGTTGGAGCCCTGCTTCAACAGTTACGGTAGCAGATGCGTCACGCTTTAGCCACCAATCTGCGGACTATATTTTGTTTTAGATTCAGGGTAATGCGGCTAAAATTACCCACAGAAGCGAGGAGACGAGTCCCTGGAAGCAGTCGTGAAGGAGGATACACGATCGCTGGTACCAGAGCTTTATTCGCTTTATAGCAGATATTGTCTCCGAGACGTTAGGCGACTAAAGCTCTTGTCCCAGTGATCGTGTCTCCTTCCACACGACTGTGAAATTTAAGGTATTGTCTCGTCCGAGTTTTCTTTCGGGATATCGTACACTGGATGGACCCACCCTTTTGTCTGTGCAGAAGGACTTCGAAGAACGCAACGTCGTTATCCGCCTCAGAGTGCGTCGATTTCGACGTCGTGGCCTGTCCACCGACCGTATAAGTTAAGGTACTAAATGGCCCCCTTCAAACGCGTTTTTTAAATCTTGTCCATGAAAAATTTGCAAGAAACGGTCCTAGCGGTGAACTGTTTGCCTGTGTAGTTGGCCGTTGAAGAGAAAGGAAGAAGAGAGGAAAGTCGCTTTATTTTGGAAGTATAAATTCAAAATTTTCAGAAAGCATGGGCTCCATCCACTGCAGACAGAATATAAGTTAACAATTTACTCAAGAGTCGAAAAGACTCACACAAAAAGGAACATCTGTTATGAATATAATCCAGGTCTCGGTTTCTGTATTTCTGTCTCTTCACTTGTAAAAAAGCGTGTCTGGAATGACAGTACAGAATGCCGATGTGCGGTAAGAGGGTTCACTAATTTGTGCACTGTCAAAGTAAAGCTAACGTCTTTACTTGTCCTTACTGTTATCAGGCTGCGTACAGTGGGCGTTCTTTGAAACCAATTCATATATTTCAGTGAGTGACCAAACTCATGCAATGTTGGCCGAAATCCTGAAATTTATTTCCTATTGGGAATTATTACTTAGGTGAGATTGCAATATTGACTGTCGGGCGGCATAATCCTATGATATTTCGGACTAGCCAAGATGCTGGCTTTTGGGTGCACTACTTTTGACAAATAAAAATC